GAAAAAGAGATCTCCGTCCTCCGTGTTTATTCTTATATGATTATATAGAGTCATTATTCATTTGTTTTAAAGCTCAATAAATAACAAAGAAAACCTTTGACCGGCACTTTTCTAATTTTGTCCGGAAGATTTAAACGGACACATGTTGACCGGCGAAAAAAAATCTAACTGAAACTCTGCCTCGTTCCTTGGAAGAGGCGGAGAGGTGGGTGTTTGTCATCTGCTGGTGGACTACCGGAGAGAATTACAGCGCTTGCCACGACGGGGAGGGATTGCATTGAATTGCAGCAGCAGGAGCAAACGCTTGCCTCGGGGAGGGAGAAAAAGAGCCACAGCGGAGAATAAACAGAGGGGCAACCATGGCAACCATGCACGGGAAGTCTTCTTCGCTGCTTTTGTGGCAGACTACAGCGCCACTTACAGGCCTGGCATATGTACTACAGCGTCTCCAGCGCTTTCGAGCGGCAATGGCCGGCCGTGGCCCAACCCCACATTCCCCTGATAGGTGGAGAGTTGGCCATATAGGCGGAGCTCCTCGTTCCTGACGTCAGAGATATTTCAAATCTGTATCAGTCTGTATTTGGGTATGGAGGAAAAGAGAGAGAGTTGTGTTTTCTGACACTTGGTGAGTTCCCTGACACACCGGGGACACATATTCATGTATAAAAGACGTACAAACGTGCATTTTGCATGATAGGTTCCCTTTAAAGCATGGTTGTGGTACTATTATGTGCTGAGCCTGTTGTGCTGCCAATGGAACTGGTGCTTTACAGAAAGAAAGTAAATGGAATAATGAAGGAGGATGATTACCTCCAAATTGTTCAGGAGAACCTAAGATCATCAGCCAGAAGGTTGGGTCTTGGGCACAGTTTGGTGTTCCAACAGGAAAATGACCACAGACACACATATAAAGTGGTAAGGAAATGGCTAAATCAGGCTAGAATTAAGGCTTTAGAATGGCTTCCCAAAGTCCTGACTTTAACCCTACCGAGAACATGTGGAAAGTGCTGAAGAAACAAATGTAGCTGAAATGCACCGATTGGTCAAAGCTTAACCAGAAGCTTGTGGATGGAAACCAAAAGCGCCTAATTGAGGTGAAAATGGCCAAGGGACATGTTACCAAATATTAGCAATGCTGTATGTATATTTTTGATCACTTTTTCAGAAGACTCATAACAAATTCATAACATTTTTGTCATTTTGTGACAAAGAAGCATGTGCTCCAATCACTCAATCACAGAAAAATAAGAGTTGTAGAAATGATTGAAAACTCAAGACTGTCATGAAATACATGTTCTTTACAAGTGTATGCAAACTTTTGACCACAACTGTCGTTTCCCCAAAATGCTTTTTCCTTCAGAGAAAATGTGGCGGAATAAATGCTTTATATCATACGCATGAAGAAAAAAAGAAAAATGTGTTGCAATATGTTCAAATGACAGTATTCAATATGTAAGACTTGTGTAAAATGCCTTGTAATGTTGCTTGTAGTGGTTACTCTCATTTATATACATTTCTCATCCAAACAGCACCAGCTTTTAGTGAAAGGGTTGTTTATTTCCAAGAATTATAACAGGTATATTCAACTGAAAAAATAACAGTATGTTGACAGTAACTCCCTAACTCTGGTTATAGGCTCTATAACTTTGTCTCTTGCCAACATGTATGCTTGCAAAATTGGTTTCATCCACACTTTTTCAGTTGCTGAATTGGTCTAGCCCCGTCAGTCTTCTTCAAGTGTATCCCTCAGTTAACTAGTCAATCAGTGGTTTAACTGTTCCTGTTATTTTTAGCTTTCAAAACACTGCATGCATTATCTGATCAGAGTGTCTGGAGATATTTAAACCTTATTTTGACAGTAGGGAAGTGACAATGTGTGGCAGAATAGGTACCGTTAGTTTAACCTACATTAAAAAAAAAAAGGTTCTCACTGTACATCACCACTAGTGGTGCTGTACAGTGTTTCTGTGTTGTGTAAAGTGGAGTTACAAATGACTGTAAGCGCTATTCTTTATGCTTTGAATCACCTCCTGTTCCAAGATGTAGCAGCATCAACAGGCAATTTGTGTCGTTATTATTCTGTCATGAGTAATAAAGATTTTTGCACATTTGTCTGGTCTTGTTCTTAAGACACGCTGCCTTGATGTGTGATTGTTTTTGTATTATTTGACTTTAACTTTAACTATATATTTATTTGTTGTTCCTTTCTTCTCTTTTCTTTTTTCTTCACTATTATCTGTAAAGCGTCTTTGAGCACCTGTAAAAGCGCTAACAAATTAAATCTATTATTATTGATCAACATGCAGTATATTCTTTCCTTAATAAATCAAACTAAAGACGTGACTTGTTTTAAGATTGATGTATTTTTTGTGACAACTTTTGAAATTGCATATATACACAATATACAGACATTTTCTTCATAAGATTACTTGGATTGTTTGAGAACAAAGGAGGGTGAAATACTTATTATTAGACAGTATTAAGCAAAATTAATTTGGATGGAATACACAAAATGAAAAAAATAATTAGTTTTTTAAAATACATTTAGCTTCCTAGCATTATGTACAAAACAACTCAAAACGAATGCCGCTAACATTTAGAGAACCAAAGCACCCATTCAGTCTCCACTCCTTATAGCTGAACTGTTTCCTTCTATGTTGGGAGTTTCTTCTTTCCTGGGAGGGGAAACAACTTTTGAAGAAGTAATTTCTCAAGTGCAAAACTCAAAAACATGAATAAATGTCAGGTTGTCCAGGTTGAGGTCCCGTTTACTTCGTCAGGTCTTTCATGTACTGAAAACCTTGATTTGTGTATCCAACCGCGTTTGTTGGCGCCTCTGAAAGAGTTGAAATGGTTTTCCGCACCCCTGCAATACAAATCAATGGTTTGGTTTAGAGATATCGGAAATACATTTAAAGCATTACAGGTATAAACCAACACAACAACAATTATATTGGAGCGATGGTAGTGATGCTTCAATTGATAACAGACCAAATGAAATGCTAACTATATCACTATATCTAAGTCACTGCCACCATTTCAAATGTGGGCATTAAGAACAAATTCATGACGGTATCAGACGTGTTACAATCTCTTCAAAAAAAGGGAACAAGTTTTCTTTCAGTTCTTACCAGAGTTCCACGCCTGAACGGGAGAAAACTCCACTGTAGGTATGGTTGGAAGCTGAGCCTGAGGAGGGGATGAGAAGAGGTCTGTTAGTTTGAAACACCACAGGACTTGCTTACATGAATTGTAAATATGTATACTATATTGCATTTATATGAAATGGTGTAAAACCAGTGCAAATAGACAGTGTGCAATCTGAGAGATATTAGTTTGGCTGATGACTCCCAATACTACCTTATACATTATCTTAAAAAATGGTGGGCATGATACTCCAGAATTCCACCAGAATAGGAATATATACTGAAATCATTTGGATATTTTTAAGAATAATTTGACAGTTATCTTCATCTTATGTTTTTTTGTTACCGGGCCTTGTACCTGGAAAGTCATTATAGTTTGTTTAATGGGAAAGAATACAAATGAGCTGGTAGATTTGAATGGGTCAGATCAATGCTTGTTTAAAAATAATCCACAAAAAAAACACATTTAGTGATTCTATTGGTTTAGGATTGTTACTTTTAAATAACTTGGTCTGGTTTGTAGTAAACACAACTGAGAACTTTTAATTGAATGTAACAACAATACATTATTTTCATCTTGTAATAGTGAATTAAAATGATGTTTGGGAGGACTGTGAGATGGTAGGACAATAGAATAGAACATAATATCCATGTCTACAAATATAGCATCATCAGCAGTGTTTAAAGTATTTACCTTTTTAGCTACTGCAGGCACATTTCAAAAACAAATATAGATATAAATGGGTTTGCTTTTTATATTGTCCTATAGTTGCAAGGCCATGCCTACTATCAGCCCATATCATAAGTAGAGCATCTTATCTGTACCTCCAGGCCAAAGTACTTCATCCACTCCTGTACGGCGGGGGGGATCGCAGCCTTGGCCTTCCCCAGGGCCACGGAGCCCTGCTCGCTGCTTCCTAACAGGCCAGAGCCGTAGGCAACGTAGAGAGCTCCTCCTGCAATGGTCACCTTGGTGGCCAGTCTAAAAATATGGGGAGAGAGGCAGTCAAGCAACAAACCAAGAAAACCCACCTCAGTATCCTGTCAAATATATGTCAAACAGATGAATAACACGCTTAAAATGTTACCATTAGTGCGGTGCACAGCTTAAAGTGTCTCTGAAGTTTCTGTAGTATTTTGGCTTTTTATAGAACAGTGATGAATAAAGTATCTATCTATAAATAATCAGTTAACTATTCAACGGTTAGCTAGTATCGTTAGCTAGTTATACAACATTAGCTCACGTTGGTGAACGAAGAAGCTTGGTGTGTATAAAGCTACAGTTAAAGTGCAATGTATAACGTTCCAGGTAGACTATGATAAGCTAAATAGTGATCTATTAAACAGACTAAGCTATCTATCCAGTAATCACAGTGGTTCATGACAGCTGGAAATCTCTCCGGCACACTGACAGTTAGCTTTGCGTCACTAAGCTACATGGCTAATGGAGCGGCTAGCACGCCCCACTGCATCAAAAACATAATGGAAATTACGAGTAAAATTACAATTACTTACTTTACTACGGGCAGAATCTTTGCCGCCATGGTCCACAGTGGTGCAGTGTCCTTCAACGCAGGGTTATTCCAGTTACGCCAGAAAAAAGCTTGAATGAAGGCTATGCTGAAGGACAACACTGCGTGTACAAGGGCTGTGTCAATAAAGTTGCCCTTTCAAAAGCCAGCGTTAGTGGTATTTAAGAGCAGCAGATTCGATCCAATTCTCGTTTTGCATTTATTTCGATTTAAATCCCAACTTTGTCACCTTATGTGTTATTTCGCACAAGAAATATTTGAAGCAGATTTTTTTTGAAAGGCGTCTCAAGGAAAATGTCAAATATGTTGTAGTTCTTTATACAGGATTATGAGGAAGCATATCATGAAGCTTAAATGATGTATAAGAAATCTAGTTCTTGACCAATAGCCCTTACTTGGCATATTTGCAACACTATTAGTGAGTGGTTCCTGGCTGAAAGTACATACTTAATCTAAAACGAAAAGAGTAATAGCTTGTGGATACAAAAGCAAGGGAACGTTTGATCCTTTGAACTGTTGAAAAGTATGAATGCAGATATTAATACAATTGTGTCTTCATTAAATAAAAATGTTTGACTCTACAGAAAGACGTTATATAGATGTACCATTAAGTATCATAATAGGCCTACATCAAATCAGATGTCAGGGGAAACGTTTGGAGTAAAGCAGTAGAAGAATGTAACCATGTGTAGCCTATGTAAGTTAAACTATATTAAAATGAAAATGTCTGTACAGTTGAAACAATAAAGCTTATTCAGTTCATTTAAATGACAAAATAAATATAATGGGAAAGAATCCATTGTATCCAGTACACTCCGTCACGTTGTCCTTCGGCTCCGCCCACATCGAGTAGAACTAGTTCAACATGTTCAACTTTTATCAGAAAAATAATCTTACCCCTCCTATGCATGTCAATTTGAAGCATGGGCGTAGGAAGGATCCTGAATGTGGGAGGGACATTTTTAACAAGGGGTGGTGGGGGTTCCCCACCACGAAAAAAAAAATTGATTTCCTGTATTCTGGTTGTTGACAGAGTCACATGTATAGCAATAAACCGGTCATGACGACGAGGACTTCTTTAGCCTTAACTGGCGTGGTTTATTTTCATATGTGCATTGCACCACTTGACCTGCTCTCCATGAGAGCTAGAGAGAGAGAGATAGAAGGGGAGGGAACAATCCCTTATATCTGATACCTGACGTCAGCTACAATAGCTGCGCTTCCTTACGCCTATAGTGCCCTGTTACTGTGGAACAGTTATAGTGCAGTTACATGCAGACATATTAATACTTACACTTAACACTCCCACTTATGAATGACGTGTATACTGTACAACTTTTCCAAGAAAAATAACAGTTCAAAACATCAAAAGAACATGGCAGTCAATATTACATAGTAGGCAATATTTTACACACCGAACATGACCCCTGCACATTTTTTCAATTTCAGTTTGGAGACAGGCTTGGTCATAGCGTCTGCAACCATGTCATCTGTAGGACAGTAAACCGTGTCATCTTTCCTTCTCTGATGACAGATCTAATGAAGTGATATTTTATATCCACATGTTTACACCTCTGTCGGCACACAGGGTTTCTGGCAAGTGCAATGGTTCCCTGGTTGTCTTCGTAAACAACAGTTTTCTTATATACATAGGTATCCATTCCTTCGAGCAGTTGTTCCAGATAAATACATTCCTGTATTGTCAAGGCTAGAGCCATATATTCGGCTTCACAAGTTGATAGTGCCACTGTTGCCACTGTGGGCTGTTTCTTTGTTTTCCATGAAACCAGTGAGCTGTCTGTACCCATACTCACACAATACCCTGTGGTACTTCTCCTGTCTGTGGCGTCTGCCGCCCATCTGCGTCACTATAGGCTTGAAGCCCTAAGCCCTCGCTGCTCTTTTCTGTAACAAAAGCTGTTTATCTGCTGTACCTTTAAGATAACGGAAACATGTTTGCTGTAATCCAGTTGTCTTCTGTGGGATCAGCAAAATGCTGTGATAACTTACTCACTACAAAACATAGGTCAGGGCGAGTACATGTTGTCAAATAAATGAGGCTGCCTAACAGCTTCTCCATCAATCATTTTAGTCAATGTCTATTTATGTCTAGCCCATTATCACATAATGTTACCATTTGTCTCACTGGACTTCACAGTCATTGACACAGATATCAGTAGCCAATACTATACCCTTCTGTGCTTAGTACGCGTCATAGCCCTGTCACATCCATCTAGGAAAATTTTTCCAGAGAAAAAGAGTTAAAGCGAATGGGAGAGCATATCTTTCACCTCATGAATCTACAGATGAGGGATCCCCTCTCCAGGAGCGGACAGTACGGTACAGTAGATGTCGCTTGTGTATTTGACAATATAATCCATTGCACAACATAGGTAGATTCCTAAGCTTTGTAAATGCATGTGTGTATAATACTAAAGATGGATATCTATGAGGATAATCCATCTGTCAGGACCTTGATGATTCTGGTCCAACACCCTGACTCAAGATATAGGACTCACAGCTCCATGTACACAGACCGCTGGATCATGAATGACTCCTTCAGGATTTCCCAGGCATATATATGTGACACCAAAAAAGAAGAAGTTTTGTGGAAGCTGGCTTAATCAGTAACTATGCAGAGTACAAGTCGTTACCCTTCTGCTGAGACATTCTCTTAACACTACTCCGACACTGTCAGTTATTAGTGTCGCATCCCTCATTGTAGTCTAGCTTTTTGATCACATGGTGTTCCCTAGTTTCTCCACTCACGCATGTCAAAACGATCAGGATCTTTCCTCACTATCCGCTTCTAGGATATATGTTTACACAACTGCAGACTGTTTCGAAGTCCCATGCCTAGAAAAGTTCTTTAACCTTCCCAGGCTCCTTCATCTTGAATCTGGTGAAGCATACTCGGTTTCACCTGCTCGAGGTTTCTAGTTTACTCTCCTTCGGATGATACACTCTTCCACCCACATCACAATCTATCACTTGCCCTGACTCTTTTTGACTCTCTTGTGTTGTAAACCACCAGGGGTCTACTGGGTTCTGTAGATGAGGTGTCTTCAAATTAGACCGTGTATGAAGCATCTCATCCAATTTCGCCCAGTCTGTAGTGCAGGCCGTAAATTGGATTTTTCTCTGAAAGGTGCACCCACTAGCTTCTCTGCTTTCTTCTCGTACCTTCAGGTTGTTCGCACTATATATGTCACCTATCAATGTGTCGCAGGTAAGGCGTCTTTCACATCCATTTGTGTAAAATTTCAAGTTCGCTTCGGTGCCTTCGGCATAACTACTCGTACACGTCAGATTAGCTGTAGGGAGAATGCTCCACCGTAGCTATTCCTTCCCTCTGACTGTTAGCCGTTAGCTACAAACCTGGCCTGCTGTACCTGTCGTGCCCTTCAATACCCTCCTTGATTGAGTACACCGCGACTTGCCTCCCACGTCTGTCTACC